GAAGTATATAATGATAGTATCAGTATGCTGTGCTTACAAAAGTAATTACTAGTGGCATCCCTTTCTACGCTTGAAAAACAAAAAGGGAAAAAAGGACTGGGAGATTGAAGCCTAAGAGATGCAAATAGTGGCTTCATAGCAATAGTTCATCAATAAATTGGTGAACTATGTTGATTAAAACAGGGATTTCCCCAATTTTGTACCCATAATGCCAAGTTAAGCTAGGCATTTGTTGGATATTTACCATACAAATTCTTTTAATGACATATTTATACTGAGTTTGCATGACCAGTTGAAAATCTGCAGTGTGCAATCACAAGGGTTAAAAATTTGAGACCAACTTGCATAATTCCCATGCTGAACTGTGTCTTGATTGATCAGTGTAGCAAAACATGCAACATAACCGTCCACTGGTGAGGTCAGTGGTCAGCTGGAGTGCAGCTGGTGGAGATTCAGGGACTTGCTCTAGCCCCTGGCTGCCTTTCTATGATATCTGTATTTAAGATGCTGTCACATGGTTGCTGACCACACAGAGAGAGAAATGGAAAAACTCACCGACTCCTCCTCCTGAATCAGGTGAACCAAGCTGTCCAACACTGGAGCGAGATTTCTAAGCAGACGGAAGAAAAAGTATACAAACAAAAAATAATTTAAAATTACTTCTTCAGGCTAGTGACATTGTGTCAAACCTTTTACACATCTGGTTGTTCACCTTCACAGCATACTAATAAGTAGTAAAACAGTTGCTAAGAGGAAAAGCCAGACTTCAATGATTTGTACTGGAGCTTTTAAACTCAACGCTTGCCTAATTTTTTGATTGTTTGTAATGTTTTATTCCCAGAATCAAGTCAGGATATAGAGCAAAACTCAATCTCGGCCTTCCCTTTGACTTCAGCGCAAGCTCCAAGCTGTGCACAACAGCTCAACAGCATCTCCTCCTTTGCTGCATCCTTACTTGGATTTGATGTTGTTGAAATTCTTGCCCAGAGAGAGGTGTCTGATGGACCGGTTCTTGGCCAACCAAACAAGCAGAGTGGACAACTCTGAGTCTAATCCTGAAAATAAAAGGTATATGTTGTACTGTAATACACCTCTGCTTTGAGATTAGTAAATACAGATTACAATAAGCATGATCACCAGCATCTCACCGTTGTCAGAGATATCCAGGCTGGAGATGTTTGGGATCTCAGCAATACAACCTTCAAGGATCTGAGATCCTCCAGACCGCAGCTGAAAGCACAGGAAAACAAACTGTGGTAATATGTTCATTTTACTGCCGAGCATCTGCTGAAATGAGAAATTTCACAAACAAATCCTGCACTGTGACTGGAAAATATGAACACAAAAGGTCACAGTACTTCCACAAAGGATTGAATGCTTCATAAAACATTCAACTATATATTCAAGTACACAACAAAAATATAAGCTTCTGTGCACCTCCTAAAATTCCCTTTATTACAAAATGCAAAACATCTGCATAGGATTATTTCAAGTAACGTACATCCAATTTACCATGACTTAATGCACATTGTTTAAAATAGCTGCACAGATCATTCAGAGCAACTGTAGCTTTTAATTAATGCAAAAATGTTGAGGGGAAAAAAGCTCCACTAAGCATGAGATCAGCAGGAGAAAAAAAAAGCCAAACGTGCACATGAAAAAAGGAAGAATGACGTGTTGATTATTAAGAGTGAGCACATTAGTACTTACACAATGGCCAAGCTTACAGAAGCATTAGAGGGAGAGAACAGCATGTCAAAAGCAAGCCAGCGATTACCAACAACAAAACACACAGATGCTTAATGAGCATTCTTCTGGCCACACACTCACTTATCAAAGACACGCATTTGCACATGCAACACACTCAGCGGGGAGTCCTTATTTTGCATGCTGCGATCGCACTCAGACAACAGATTCTGTCCGCCCCCACCAAACGGTTCATTAAGGCATCGAAAAGGGACGCTTGCGTCATTTCCCCCCAAAAAAGCTTTGGTTTGGGAAGGTTTCTGTGGGGATCTGGATTCAGATTTCCTGGATAATTTGTTATTAGTTATCTTTAGCGATCAGGATAAATCTGCAGACAGCTGTCTTTTCTGTTTTTTGAGCAGGGGAAGGTGAAGGCTGATGTGTGTGTTTGAGAGTTACGGCAGAACAACTACAGCTGGAAACTGACCCC